GAGTAGGCTCTCTACTCTACTTGCTGGTTGGAAAGTTAAGTTTATTTCTTTTGTAGGAAGAATACAATTCCTTAAGTTCACCATTGCTAATACTCTAGCTTACTGGATGAGAGGTGATATATTACCTAAGACTATTTGTAAGCTTATCGACAAATTATGCTCTAGGTTCCTATATCATGGCTCTTCCACGGGGGAAAAACTTCATCTTATTGCTTGGAACAAAACTTTCTTACCCAAATGCCTTGGTGGATTAGGCTTGCCTACCATTGAGTCTCTTCATTTTGGCTTTGCTTGTTCTTTTATTTAGAGATTTTTCTATTTTGACTCGATGGTTGCTAGATGGTTTAGATTTAAATTCATTTCTCCTTGGAAGGCTCCTCCTCCCAAGACCTCTAAATTCTGGTAATCTATATGCCATTTAGCTAATCGGATAAAAAGGAAGATTGGATTTCATGTTTCTAGTGAAAATTATAATTTTTTGATGTTCTGGGACCCTTAGTGTGATGGCTCTATTGTCTCGGATTTCATGCACCCCGCTTCTTCTTTTGGGTTTGAGGTTAAAGATTTTATTTGTTATGGGTTTTGGACTTTGCTTAATCAATTTTTTCCAGCTTGCTTTGGATCGGATAACTTTTGTTCAAATTAGTCAGCATCCTCCTTCCCCTATTTCCTGGATTAGCACTAACAAACCTTGCTTCAAGACCTTATATATGCAATATTATTATGATATTAAAAAAGCTTCATGGCACAATTTTGTTTGTCACCAGCATTATGCCTTGAGATACACATCCTTATGTGGATGGCTATTTTAGGAGGTCTCAAAACAGTTGATGTCCTTGCCAAAATAAATATTCTAATTTTTGCTTTGTGTCTGCTTTGTCGGATTGGTCATGAAAGCATCATTCACTATTTTTTTAGTGTGATTACTCTTTTAAGGTAGTTTTATCTCTTCTTCCCTCACTACAGAATTTTTTTTCATGCCGACTTTACTGCATGTTTTTGAACTTTTTTGAAGGAAATCAGCAACTTCACTCTTATGAAAAGAATTTTTGCTACATTGTCATGTGCTGCTCTATTTATTTCCTTTGTAGGGCTCGTGATGAGAGGCAATATGTTGGGGCTGTTATTTCTGTTCAAGGCACTATCAGGAAGATTTTTTTTGGTATTCAAGCTAAGGTCCCATCTTAGAAGAATTTTGATTTGCTACTATTATCCTATCTTTCCTCTTTTGGTTCGTGATTTCCAGCTAGGAGTTTTATGTGCTACTTGATTTTTGGTATTGTGGGGGATTAGTTCTACTGCTTATACCGGATAATGATGAGTGGAACTAACATTTGGATTCCACGTGTGGTCTCTTCCCTTGGAAGGCTTGCTGGTCCTGGTTTTTACAACTCTCTATGGCCTGGCAACCAACCTCTGGGATGATTAAGGCTTCACTTGTGATGACTTCCTTGCTAAAAGCATTTTTTAATTACAAGCAAAAAATCATTTAGTAATGAGTCGAATTTATGGCATTAGAAATATAATCACTTCGAACCACTCAACCATATATTCTTTCATTCAAAAATATGCTTTATTGTAAATATACTACTAGTATTTGGAAGCAAGTTCATGAACCAACAAGTAGAGTCGACTTTCAAATAATATAGCTATAATGAAAGCTCATCGTATCCTTTTTTCTTATGAATAGTTGGGTCGGCCTGGGCTTGTTGTGTCCCTAACTCCCAATTCTATCAGCTCAAACCGGCTAAGCGAATTTCATCTCAACTTGCTTGGAATGAGTAATTTATCTTGGTACCTCTGAGTCATGGTTTTGAAAATCGAACCGGAAAACAAATTGGAAAAAGGAAATATTCACGATTCGACCATTTTGACCCGTCGAACTAAGTGACAGAATAAATAATTTTATTATTAAAAATTAATTAAATTAATGTAATATAATATAAAAATATGAGCATTTAATAATATTTATAATATTTTAAAAAATATATAATAAAAATTTATAAATATATTATCATTTAAAAATAATATATTTATATATTTATAATTTAATATATTTATAAGAATAATATTTAATATAATATATAAATTTATAATATTAATATTTGTTCTCTGCCGCACCGGGGCGTGGTGAAAAGAGTGTGTTGTAAGGGCTTCTCCGCCTTGCTGTGGGTGCAAAAGGAGAGTCACTATTGGTATTAGTGCAATACTCAGAGGGTGCCTCTGAGGAGTGGATGTAGGTCTGGTTATAGACCGAACCACTATAAATCTGCTGTCATTTACTTTATTGCTTTTACGTTTCCGCATTTTAAATTTCAGTTTTAACAACTCTTTGGTTGAAAAACATTTTTCTACAAACTTTAAAAGAAATTTTTATTTCGGTTCAACTTTATTATTAAGAGGGTTTAAAATTTTTAAAACTACCAATTCACCCCCCCTCTTGGTAGCCGTGGGACATTTACTTAGGCTTAACAACCTAATTACTAGACTCAACACGCATTATATAAGGTTTAGCAAAAAATTTTGAACATGCTAAGAAAGTAAGAAAAAATAGAAAAAAATGCCGATAAAAATGGAGAGATCTAGAGGAGGATGTTTCTTTTTATGACCAAACGATATTCTCAGAGGATGCGAGGTCTGAAAATAAGTATGAAAATATCGAGAAAGCAGAACATTTCAAAGAAGTGCAGCCATAAGAAAAGATAAAATTAGAAAATGAAGGTTTCAACTTATTGGTAAAGTTCAAATCCCTCCAAGTCTTTGAGGCATTCATATTTGTCCACATTTATGTATAGCATGGTAGCAATTACTATGAACAATGGTATTTTGTGCATATTTAATTTTTGCATACTTATTACGTACTTTGTGCATATGTACTGCGTATTTTTTTCATATTTATTGTGTACTTTGTACGTACTTACTACATTTTTTGTGTATATACTGCATATTTTGGGCAATGTACTACATACTTTGTGCATATGTACTACATATTTTATGCATATTTATTGCGTACTTACTGTGCATTTTGTGCATATTTGATGCTTATGAAAGCGCAATGAAAACACATACACAGCACAATGAAAGCAGTGATAGAGCAATGAAAGAGCAGTTTAAATAACTATCGAGTGCCTCTTGCATTGCCGCCACTATATTGTAAGCCAAAATGGTACCAATCACTCTCTACATGATTATGATGTTTACTTTGTCATTTTTGCTAGCCAACTTTTACTATCAGTCTATGTGATGTTACCTTCAAGACTTATTCTTTCCATGTATTTACAAACAAACATTCCGTAATCTATAGAGATAGTTTGAATTGGCACACCATTAATTATAGAAATCTTTCATTTTATGATATCACTATCAAAAGCTCCTATCGTGTTGTAATATAGGGTTCTAATATGAAAAATACATATCACATAATATGCACACAATATACGCAGAGAGTACACACAATATATGCAAAGAGAATACACAATTGTGGTGATTCAACAATCTTTATAGATGCAATCTTAAAAGGTCATCAAACAAGTGACATAGAATCCTAAGATGACATTGCATTCAAGATGTAACCAAATAAGGAGAAGACACACAACATACGTAAAACATACGCACAACATATGAAGTGCTAACGCACAACATTGGCATAAACTACTCTTTTATTTTTATTTTTAAGATCCAAAGAGTTTAATTATTAAAAGTTTGTTAGGGTTTAGGTTTCCGCATAAACCCTAAATACAAAGAAAATACGATGGGCTATGACTAGAATCAATAATTTAAAAAGTTTCGAGAAGGAACACATACGCATAACATAAGCATAAAATACACAATGATTACGTACAACCTACGCACAAACTACTCAGAACCTATGCATACAATATTTATCTATTTACTTTTTTGTTGTTTCTAAATTCTAATATTCAAAGAGTTCCTTCGTTAAAAGTTTTTTAGGGTTTAGGTTTCAGTATAAACACTAAAAATAGCGAAAATACGATAATGTCATAACTAGCATCAAATATTTATGCAATTATCAAATATGAAAAAAGCATAGCATGAGCATAAAAAATGAATAGCGTGAGCATAAAATATGCATAGCTTGAGCATAAAATATGCATAACATGAACATAAAATACTCAAGCAAATTACCTTTCCTTTTGCATGTGACGCCATCGAAGAGAATGCAGGAACTTCGGAGATGAAAGCTAGATTGGAAGAAGAGAATGCAGGAACTGCGGAGGAGTTTTGCTTCGGAGAAGGAACACCAGATGTTGAAAACCGAAAAGGTGCTCCTCGAAATGTGGAATTCAACTATCATTTTCACTTTTAACTTTTATCGGGGTTTACGTGTTGAAGCTAAGTCAGATTTTCACTAAGCAATCCGTGTCTGCAATTGCCACATAGGCTATCCACAGGTTACAATTTTATTGGTGTCCGAACATAGAGCAACGTCTGGATTCCGCATCAAATAATTTCATCCTGTTGATAGCCCTTAGATTTTTCACTAAACATCGTTCTTCATGAAAGCATTCCTTCAATCAGTAAAAACACTAATTATCAAAGGATTCTTAACCATAAATTTCGCTTTTCACCACAGCGTCAAGCCTCCAACGGTCACATTAGTAATTCTAGCCCTGTTCTTCAGATCTATAACAGTTTAAAAACAAATAATATTTGTGAAATTTAAATTAGAGCAATTAATACTGCTTTTGAGTTTTTTAGAAATGTGTTTTAATTGCATCATTTTCAAAAAAAAAAACAACTAAAATTTTCGTTTATTTACATAAAATTTAATTAGAAATTACCCATTAAAATTATTATATTTAAGTAAAAACTAATAAATTATAACTGTTAAAAAATTTTATATAATGGGAGAAAGATCTTTTGAGAATTAATATTCAACGGCTACTTTTTCAGTTTAAGAACAGAATTATAGAGAGAATAAAACGGCCACTTAATAGCTCTAATCTTAAAAGCCACAAAAATGACCCAGCCCCTAAATCATCTTATTAGAACTAAATATTTTGATAGATCAATAATAATAGAAAAATTCTCTCTCTCTCAAAACAGAAGAAAACGCCTGTCCCTTTTGTAATCCCCAAAGCTACCCTTCTCCTTCCCAAATCCCCACGCCTAATTAATCCATTCTAACACTTAGTAGCTATGGTCAAGCTTCATCTCCATCTACGGCACCAATCTCTCCTCTTTCTCATCCTCCTCTCCCTCGCCTTCGCAAACGCCGCCAATCTCCGGATCTCAGAACACGACGGCGTGGCCGCCGTCGGAGATCTCTGGTGCGTCGCGAAGAACAACGCGGAGGACGCCGCCCTTCAAGCGGCGCTGGACTGGGCCTGCGGGCCAGGTTCGGCCGATTGCCAGCCGGTTCAGAAAGGCGGAATCTGCTTTGAACCGGAGGATTTGCAGTCCCACGCTTCATATGCTTTTAATGATTATTTTCGCCGGCATGGATCTTCGCCGTCCGCTTGCGATTTCTCAGGCGTCGCCGCCATCACCGGATTGAACCCTAGTTAGTATCTTCAGCCTTTTTTTTCAAAATTCTTTAGGGCAGTTTGGTCATCTGGTAATTTTGTTATATTGTTATTAAAATTTGCTTTTTCGTTTCTTTTTACGTGGATGACAGGCCATGGAGACTGCAAATTCCCTGCCAGGTCAGCACAGGTTCTCTTTAATGTTAATTAATTTTTGAAAATATTCTCGGATAGTACTTAGTATTTGTTTAATATTTTTCAAATAATATATTTAATACAAAGTAAAAACGTTGTGAGAGATTCTAGTGTGAGAAGCTCTGCTAGAGTTTGGTGCCGTTCTCTCCTCTCCTCCCTCCCGCCTCTTTGAGGCTTCTTGCCTCCTTAGTCGGAGGGATCCTATCCCTCTATTCCACTTCCTTCCCTCCCCTTCCCTACTCTTCTAAAACCCTCCTTCTGCAGGCCCTTCTTTCCCTTTATCTTGGGATCACATCCTTGCGGATCCCCCAAACATCATTGAGTTTCCCATTTCTTCTTTTCCCTCTTCGGAGGAAATTATTGATTTCCGCGTAGAAGACATTGCTGAAGCTGTTGAGGAGTGGAACTTAGCTCTGGTTGGTTATTCACTCGGGAAAAGGCATTTTTATGAGGCTTTGTTTAATGCGGTGAGGAAAATTTGGAATCTAAAAGGTAACATCAAGCTTATCTCCCTTAGAGATAGATTTTTTCTGTTCAAGTTTTTTAGCTCAAAAGACTATGAAATGGTATGGTCCAGAAGCGCTTGGTTTATTTTCGGTAAATCATTCATATTTCAGAAATGGTCATCTCATTTTACCCCTAAGAGAGAAGAATTCACATCTGTACCTATGTGGTTCAAGATTCATGATCTACCCCTATGCTGTTGGACCTCAGTTGGGATTTCTAAAATTGCTACCAAAATCGGATATCCACTTGCGGTTGACGCTCTCACAGCTTCCAAACCCAAACTTACTTATGCCAGAGTCTGTGTTCAAGTCAACTCGTTTGCTTCCTACCCAGACACAGTTCCCATTTTTGTTGAAGGGAAGATCTTCAACCTCAAAATTCTATACGAATGGCGCCCAACTCTTTGTGTAATTTTCAAATCCTTAAATCACCATGCGGACTCTTGCCCCTCAAACCCGAACCCTATCACTCAACCTATTCTCAAGCCCCAAAGAGGAAGAAGCTCTAGTCGTAGACCGAGACCTACCTCTCAAACTCCTAAAGGTATTCCTCCTACTCCTATAAACTTACCTCCCTCTGATAATGTAACGCCCCAAGATCTAACTTGGAAAGAATTTCGATCAATCATTTACCAGAGCTATCTATAGTCTTCAATCAATAACAAACAGTCTAACAAAATCAATAAGTTAAAACATCAATGTACAATTATATTCATATTCCAAAACTTCATATACAATACTCGGGATCTACACATTAAACACAATAAATCTATCCTGTCCTGAGTACAAAAGAATCATTATAACCAAAAAGGATAAAAACCTGAAGATTCCAGATCAATCTCAATCTCCTGCTTTCTTGCCCTGACCTGAAAATATTAATCACATATAATGAGCTTCAAAAAGCCCAGCATGTCACCTAATACCTATAACTGAAATCAAAGCACGGTACTGAAACAATATGCATGTCAATCAATCAGATCCGTAACAGTCATTTGCACATGATCAGTGAATCTATGCAGCAGATACGAAAATCAGTAATCAATGCATGATCGATACAATCCACAATCTTCGGTAAAAGAATCGATAAACAGTAGGAAGAAATCCATAAACAGTAGAAAAAAAAATCTATATTCGGAAGAATCTCAGTTAAATCGATCAGTCAAATTGATAGAGAAAAATCGTCGTCTCGATAATATCAGTTAAATCAATATCGTATCAATAGAATCAATCATATATGGTCAATAACATCAATCGGTACGAAATCATATAAAACAATCAAACCAATACAGTACAAGAACGGTGGAAACAAAATCAATACAGTAAAACCTATTCCATAATAGTCAATGAATCACATGCAGCAGTTCAACACGGTGTATCAATGAAGCGATAGTATCAATGAATCAATAGTATCCATGTCCATAGTATCAATAAGTCAATGCAATATCGATATCCATATCAGTATCAGTATCAATGCTCAGTGGCATAATGCGAATATCAATGAAACCGTACAGTAACAATAAACTCGTAAATCCGTCAGTCAATCCATTCAAAATCAATAAATCAATAATCAATATAAGAAGTCCGTCGATATCAATAAATCTATAAATCCATAATGAGATCAATAGGTCAATACCGTACACATGCAATTCAGTACAGTAGTCTTACTGAACAAGTATAATCACTGGCTATTAAGGCATTTTTCGGTATCGA